TACAGCCCAACAACGAAGCTCAACGGCAAAGATTCACTTGCGAGTACTGCAATACATTGGATCGAAACAGTCCAGACATGGAGCGCAACGTCATCTCGGAACACCAACTTTGATATGTTGCAAGTCCATTGTCTGTCGTTGATTGCGCGCCAAGCGAACGCTTGTGATGGGGATACCATTTGGATATCATCTGGCTCGTTGATACGATCAGCTATGACCATGGGCTTACACCGTAACCCGTTGCGCTTCCAGAAGCTGTCTAGATTCTGGGCAGAAATGCGCCGCCGTTTGTGGGCTACCATACTGGAGTTAGACCTACAGTCGTCGATGGATGGAGGGATGCCGCCGACGATTGACCTGGAGGAGTATGATTGCGATCCACCGTCCAACTATGATGACGCAGATCTGATCGAAAATATGACAGAAGATCCGCCTCCCAAAGATCCTGGCATCTTCACTCGGAGCAGCTTTCAGGTCCTACTTTCGCGTACATTGGCCGTGCGAGTACATATAGTAAAGCTCGTCAACCGCCTGAGATTCACAATCTCGTATGACGAGGCTCTGAGCTTGAGCGAGGAGCTCATGCAGTCTCTGAATGATGCTTTGGATTTGTTCCCAAGCGACAGATGTCTGTCGCATATCCCCGGCGTTGAGAATCCAGCGTTCACCAAGTCATATTTTATTTTCATAATACGGAGGCATCTGCTAGCCCTCCATCGCCCTTTTTGCCTCAGTATCATGCGGACTCCCAAATTCTCCTACTCTCGGAAGATTTGCCTCGACTCGGCGCTGGATATGCTCTCCTTGCTGGACCCCCCTCTTGACGTTGCCGAAGCACGGCCCCATCCTCATCTTGGACATTTGACCGGCGGAATGTTCCGTGAAGAGTTATTCCAAGCGGCGACAATGGTGTGTGTGGAGCTAGTTCTGCAGGCTGACGAGTGTTTGCGGTCAAAGTCCATGCTCCAAGGCCAAAATAGCGTCTTGAGTTCCCTCAACGACATGGCGGAATCCCAGCAAGCGGTCATGGTACATTCCGTTGAAAACACCATCAAACTCTTCGGCTGTCGCATTGCACCAGGAGGAAGGGGTTGTAAGCCATATATCTTCCTGAGTATCACGCTTGCATCTGTCAAGGCGCGATTGAAAGGGGAGGATTCCTTCAAGGCTATGGATCAGGCTGGTACAAACGCCATCAGAGACTGCCAATTACTGATGAGCGGGGTGCCTTGGGCCGACGTACGCAATCAAGATGAAAACAGCTCAAAGGAAGTGAGTGATTGCAGCATCCCAACAGCGGCTATTCGCTAATTCAGGACTAGGCCAGTATTTCAACACCCGGGCTCACTGCGGGTACCCCACTTAATCTGCCCTTTGATCCTATGGCTTTTGTTCCTAGCTCCATGGAGGACATTTCGGTAAGACTCCCTGGCAAATGATTGAATCGACCTAGAAGCTGACAAACTAGCCGTTGGACTTTGGAACCCTTTTCGACATGACCGACTATGGAGCTTCGGAAATTTGGAATAACGATTTCTTCTCAGGGCTTTAAGCAACTAGCTTGCATGAGAAAGGCGTTCAAAGAAGTAAGGAGTTAACTTGCGATCTTCCACGGCAAATCTCCAACTAGCTTAATGTACATGATCTCTCGGTTAGATCCCGTTTATAGATGAAACAGAGTCTCTTTCGCCTTTGATAGCACCCAGTCATCTCGGCAAGGGAAGCCACACCTGCTCCGATACTGAGTATAGAAGTTGGGCAATCCTAGGTTCCAGCAGCTTTTATACACCATCGAGGAGTTCTGCATATCTTGCGTTCGATAGTCATTGCCAAACAAGAACCCTGGAGCTATGCCGTAAGTCCATCACAAAGAACTTCTTCATCACTATGATGATATCATCATAAATGATGAAATGTCGTAGAGGTGAGTGGTACACCACACTGGCGTTGAATCATATCCCGGCAGAAAGGTGCGTGGTTTCTGATTGTTTACACACGCTATCGTAGTCGCCGCCGCGGCCCCAGCAACTGGAGCGATTGCGACGTAATTTGATGGTATCCTCTGCCCTCCGTATGCGCACTGATGAATCAATGATAAGAATACCATGATTCAGGAGGATGATGTAATCATCGCCGTATGATGCTTGTTTTAGGCACATGTGCACCTTCATTGGTGGAACTTTTTGGCTGATCCCTGTACCACAGCGGAGGAAATATCGCGCAAAACAGGAACGCTCGATGCTTGAAGTAATTTAGCTTGTGTTTGAGTCTGTGTCTCCAAATCTCCCCGCATAATGTGGAGAAGCATTAAACGACTTCACTCTGACCGTCGCAATGGACGACTTCTATAGGCGGATAAACTCTATCCTTGCGTACCCTCTAGCTCATAATCCGGGGAAAGCCAAGCACTGGAGAAGATTGGCAGAAGGCATGTGCGCTGGCAATTTGGCGGAAGTTCTCTCTATAAGAGAGTCAGCATGAGCATTGGAGTGCTATACCTAGCTCAATTGCGTTGTCTCTAGTTGTACGCATCTTGTAGCGAGACACCGAGCTCACCATGAAGTTTCTCGCTCTTGCAGCGCTCTTTGCGAGCACAGTCAGCTCAATTGCAGTCGATGGTCTCATTCCTGGTGCAAGAGTTATTCCTGCTAACGACGTGGTAACCTTGAAGGAGGTTGGGGCTCTTCATCACAAGCACCCCCATCGTCGCACAGTGATCATTCGTCCCTCTAGCAGTGATACAGACGATGTCTCTGCCGACTTCCTGTGGGGTATCAAGAAGGCCAACCGTGGGGGAAGGCTGTTGCTCCAGAAGGGGAAGAAGTATATCATCGGCAAGAAACTTGATCTGACTTTCTTGAAGGATATCGAGGTTCAATTGGACGGAGAACTAAAGGTATTTTAGCCTAAATTTAAAATCCGTCTCTAGCTGGTGCTAATACTATAAAGTTCACCAACGATGTGCCCTATTGGCAAGCAAACAATTTCTATTATGACTTCCAGAAGTCCATCAGCTTCTGGCGCTGGGGTGGTCAGGACATCAAGATCTTTGGTTCCGGGGTCCTGAACGGCAACGGACAGCGCTGGTACAACGAGTTTGCTGGGCAAGAGATTCTGGTAAGTATGCGTGGAAGCTTGTCAATGCCTCTGTATAGAGTTGTACTGACGTCTCTAGGATCCCAACAACAAATACTATCGGCCCATCCTCTTCGTGACTGAGAACGCCACCCGAGTCTCGGTCGAAGGCATTACGCAGCTCAACTCTCCCTGCTGGACCAACTTCTTCGTCCGCACCAAAGACGTCTCGTTTGACAACGTTTTTATTCATGCGTATTCGACTAATGCATCGGTGGGTTTCCTTCACCTGTGGAAGCAAGAGGATAAAGTAACGGTGGTCAAATAGGCACTCCCCAAGAATACCGATGGGTTTGACACGCTCAACGTCGATGGATTGACAGTCACGAACACTCGCGTCGATATCGGTGATGATTGCCTCTCGCCGAAGCCCAACACCACCAACGTCTATGTGCAGAATCTCTGGTGTAATGGCACGCACGGAGCGTCCATGGGGAGTATCGGCCAGTACCCCGGAGTCATGGATATCATCGAGAATGTCTGGATTGAAAACGTAACCCTGCTGAACGGTCAAGTAAGTAATGACCCTCCCCCATTCTTGGGGCCAACGTCTAATTCTCTCAGAACGGTGCTCGTCTCAAGGCATGGGCTGGTCCCAATGTGGGCTATGGCCGCATCAACAACGTCACTTACAAGAACATCCGCATCGAGAACACCGACAATCCTATCGTCCTGGATCAGTGCTACTTTGACATAAATGCTACACAATGTGCTGCCTACCCTTCACGTGTGAACTTCACAAACATTGTCTTTGAGAATATCTATGGAACCTCGTCTGGAAAACAGGGCAAGGTCGTGGCTGATCTGACCTGCTCGCCTAATGCCGTGTGTTCTGGGATCCAGCTTAAGAACATTCACCTCACCAGTCCTGCGGGGAGCCCGCCAGTAATTATCTGTGATGGAATTCAGGGTGACATTGGAGTTGACTGCCAGTCGTCGACTAACTCGACGACTAAGCGCTCGGTTGGTTTGGCCGGGAACCTGAAATATAAGGCTTGAGTGTTTGCAGATGTAAATAGTGCATAGAAAGACTTGGCTCAAGGCATCTGTTTAACTCTCATCAAGGGTTTGATGAGAAGTGCATCTAATGATTCCGTACGGGCCACTGTGGTATGGTGATAGTCACTCCAGACACTTTTCACTAGTAAAGCTGCTTCTCTAGAGCGACCAATACTCAAATTCAACAACGCAGAGAAGGTCGTTCTATCAGGCCACATCGTGTACCGGGAGAACCAAAGGTGGGAGGGGAGACGAAGAGCTTCCGTTCATTCCTTGTAGTATTCCTGACGCTTTTCCCTTAGATACAGATAATAGATAGATCATTTCGGAACAAAAAAAAAAAAAAAAAATCTTCTTGAGTAACCAGAAAACAAAATCATGCAAAGACGAACGTGAGGATCTCAACTCCAGCTTGAGGTGCATGGTTAACAATGAAGGCGGGACTCATACCATAATACAATGTTGATCAAGTATACGCCCAATCAAAATGAGTATACCGAAGATACTCCACAATTTTCAAGCACTCAGAGATCTACAGAACAATAATCTTACTGATGTATGGATTGTCGAATCAGATTGTAGTCAATTTTGCATCTCAGTGTGCGTGAGGACCTTGGGCCCAACCCAGGTACCTTGGGAGTTCCCCGGTGAAATAGACTCATGCTATAGATTCAACCACGCAACCAGTAATAGCTCTTGGATTAATGATGGAGGATGGTTTGAGCCCACTAAAGGTGAACCTTGGGGGTTAATTGCAAGCATGTCGCTAGCTGAGGATATAAAATTGTGGCCTTCCCACTATGCCGTGTACGTCGTCAAATTTATTCCACACTCTCGTTCAAGGGACAGCGTTGACTTCCAACAAGATGGTCATCAACTCAGGGACTGACTCTCTCTCCTATCCTGCTCCTGCTCAGCCGGGAGCGGAGGAGAAGCCGACGAGGCAGATCCCCGTGACACTCCTTTCAGGATTCCTGGTAAGAATCTCCCTCAAGATTGCAACGACATCAGCTAAAAGAGAGCAGGGTAGCGGCAAGACAACACTTCTCGAGCATATCCTTCAGTCGCCCGACCATGGACTGCGCATTGCCGTGGTGGTCAATGATATGAGCAAGTATGGGTGCCTCGCTATCGGGGAATATTGATGCTTACCAGCAATACAGGCTGAACATTGATGCTGCGTTGATCACTCATCACAAAGTTTCCCAGACGAAGGAAAAGCTCATCCAGCTCCAAAATGGATGTATCTGCTGTACGCTGCGTGGGGACTTGCTGTCAGAACTTGCTCATCTCGCGCGCCAAAAGGAAGTGCAGTACGTTGTCATTGAGAGCACGGGCATTAGTGAGCCGATGCAAGTAGCGGAGACGTTCACGGCCGAGTTCAGCAGTGCAATGCTGCAGGCGGATCAGGAGATGATGGTGGATGAGGACAGCCGCAAGGTCCTGACAGAGATGTAAGCTCACCCACCCGTCCAATGCTTGTCCTCTGGCCGGTTTTCGGATCCTGACAGCAGCAGTGTCAATCTAGGAGGCCTTCATACACTGGCGAGACTCGACACCACAGTGACTGTTGTCGATGCGTTCAATCTTCTTTCCAACTTTGACACCGCCGAGTTCTTGTCGGATCGATACGGATCCAAGGAGATCATCCCAGAGGATGAGCGTACCATCTCCGATCTCATGGTGGATCAGATTGAGTTCGCAGATGTTCTTATCATCAACAAGATCGAGACCGTGGACGAGAATACCCGAACAAGGATCAGGAGACTGTTAAAGACGCTCAACCCCGACGCCAAAGTTCTGGAGACGAGCTACTCCCGTGTCGATGTAAAAGAGATTCTGGACACCGGAAGGTTCGATTTCATCAAGGCTGCTTCGGGGGCCGGTTGGTTGCGCAGCCTGCATGAAATGACAGTCCAGAATACTGGGAATGGGCAGAGAATGGCCCCGAAGCCGGAGACCTTAGAGTTTGTCTCCCTTGCCCTTCATCCAACGTGAAAGAAGATATACTGACTTGAACAGGTATGGGATTAACAACTTTGTGTATACCGCTCGCCGTCCCTTTCATCCTCGTCGTATCTTCTCCCTTCTTCACGATAAGTTTATCCTGCTGCAAAGCAATGAAGCTGAGGAAGAGGACGAGAAGGACAATGCAGATGAAGGAGAGGAGGAGGAAGACGAAGAAGAAGACAATATGGAAGTAGACGAAGACGAAGACGAAGACGAGAGTGATGACGAAAGCATCTCCGACTTCGACCAACCAGACCCGTCCGAGATCCTGCAGAACAAGCGCAACCATCCCGCCTTCGGCTCCGTTCTTCGCTCCAAAGGGTTCTTCTGGCTGGCTACCAGGCCCTTCCAATTCGGAGAATGGAGCCAAGCGGGTGGCATGCTGACGATTGGGTGCGGCGGGCCGTGGTTCGCAGAAGTGCCAGACGAGGCGTGGCCCGAGGATCCAGACGTCCGAAAATCCATTGAGAATGATTTTCAAGAGCCATGGGGAGACCGAAGACAAGAAATCGTATTCATCGGTGAGGGAATCAACACGGAATTGATAACGAAATTGCTGGATGAATGTCTGCTGGATGACGATGACATGAGCCGGTGGGCAAAGATCATGAAGAACAAGAAACTCTCTTACCGGGAAAAGGAGGAGAAGCTGGGAAAGTTGTGGGAAGATGGCTGGGAGGCATGGCCTGAGTTTGGCATAGTGGATGAAGATGAGGAGGACAACAACGAGGGAGGGAAGAAGAAGCACAAACACCACACCAGCGAGTACCTGGGACATGTCCACTCGCACTCCCACAAATAACCCCGTAACTAGGCTTGTCATTATAAAGGTGCACTAGGCAAAAGTTTCATCAAATTCATATCACATTATTATTCAAAAAGCTTCAGAATCACCATTCATCCACCCGGCTCATTTTCAAATGCATGCCCTCCACGGGCTTGGTCGTCACAGCGCCAGCAATATGGATCTCCTGCTTAGGATCCTGCATCTCAAACTTGAACCGCCCAACAACACCAGCGACCGCACAGCGCAATTCGGCTCGAGCAAAGTCCTTTCCGATACAGGACCGCTGGCCATGCAAGAAAGTGATTTGCGCATAGTTTGTCGACGCACCACCATTGTGGTTGACGACCTTCTGGCCGTTCTTGTCGGTATCAACCCAGCGTTCTGGCACAAACTCCTCCCCATTATCTCCCCAGAATTCAGGGCTGCGGTTGATGGCGTACGGACAGATAATGATTCGAGTGCCCTTGGGAACGTGCTTGCCTGCTATGGTGGTATCGCGGACGGCCTCGCGGAGCGTGATGGGGACGGTGGGATATAGACGCAGGACTTCCTGGCAGACACCGTTGAGTAGAGGCATTGATTCGAGATCGCTCCAGGTGATAGGGTGGTCGCCAGACGGGATATGCTCTCGAATCTCCGCGCGCAGGCGCTCTTGAACGTCGGGGTGAAGGGTGAGAAGGTAGCAAGCCCAGGTGAGTGCGCTGGCGGTTGTCTCGTGCTGTTCACATTAGCTGAATGGTTTTCAAAGTGAATCTAGGGAGGCTAGAGATAACATACACCAGCCGCCAGAAAGGTCAGCATTTGATCCACCAGTTCGTCGTCCGTAAAATCCCCACCCACCATCATGGTTCCTAGGATGTCTGCCTCCAGTTCCTTGGCAGTCATCTTGCTGGAAGCAATGGTCTTCCTCTTCTCACGAACAATGTCCTTACATAGATCACGCAGGAAACCGGTTTCGGTATCAATCACCTTGTTCAGGCGCCAGGGTAGTCGTCGCGCAAACCATTGGGGAAGAATAAAGTTGATGGAGAGGAAGGCCATCTTCTCCTTGGTTGGTTCCAGAATAGCAAGGAAGCTGTCGGCAACTTTGTTTTCTGGGTTGTGCAGGGTGCGAAAGTCTCTACCCATGGCCGCCGGGCCGATGATATCGAGAGTGAGACGGCTGGGTAAGCTTTAGCGAATATGAGAGAAGCAAAGTGGAAACCATGAGCTTACCTCGCCCAAACGCTCATTTCGACCTTACCCACACCATCCTCCGCACTTGTTCCTTCCATTGGATTCTGCCGGATCTCCTTCTCCAATTCATCAAGGAAAAGGCCAGTCTTCTCCCACATCAAGGAGTACAATGAACGGATGTTCTTGATATTGAACGCCGGAGTCAAGGCCTTGCGCTGCTTCTTATGCGCGGCGCCCTCAGACAAGATCAAGCCGAAGCCAATGATCCGAGCGAGGAACTCGCGAGCGCGCCATGGTTTCTCGAAGTCGTAAGTGTTGGTGCTCATGATGTCCAAAAGAGCCTGGTGATTGGTAGGCAATAGGTGGCTACGGTTAAACACATCTCGGAAATGGATCAGGCCTTCGTTGGGGATTGTTTTCATCCATTGCAAGGGAAGACGACCACGAGGGTTATCAAAGATGATTTTTCCATTTATAAAAGTGCCCTACTTAATGTTATTAGAGATTGCGACACGCGGGGTGTCGCGCATACCTTGACGGTTGGCAGATGACGATTTGGCGTGACGAAGAAAGGATAAATGATGAGATCCCAGAATATCTTCAGGGCCAAATTGACACCGAACGCCCCTAGGCAGACTGAATGAAAAGAATGCTCATTCAAGACGGAGCGCTGCAGAAAATACCCCTCAGCTAGGGAGACAGAGGCGATGGCCAGCAACATGTCGGCGATGTTCCTAGCACTCTTGGCGAATAATCACTTGGAAGCAGAAGAATGGTCAAAGTCAAGCAGAGGACGAGCAAACAGACGCCGAAGGTAAGAACTGAAAAAATCGGCTAATTTAGGACCGGCATAGAAGAGATCTTCCTCCATCGTCCGCTTATACTGCGTCAGTAAGTTTATATGCAAGAGATCGGCCAAGAAGGAACTAGCATAATCAAATGACCCCACGGGGATCGACAGAGTCGAAGCGGCTATGCGGCCTCGGCTTGGGCGTTCAGATGACGTTTTTGATACATTCTGCATGAGACGATACCTTTAAACCGACCAGAATAAATCTGCCTGGAGCCTGAGTGTCTGTCAATCCATGACAGAGAGGGTCAAAAACAGACAGAATGTTGAGAATCAGAAGATGATCTCCGCACCCATGTGAATCTCAACATTTTACAACTGGCCCCTATTTCTGAGATCGGATAGCTTTGCGGGCTCGCTTAGTTTATTGATAGGCTAGAGTTGGCGCTACTCATGCGGCAAGCCACAGAACCCCACGTTTAACCCGGATATTTAGCGAGCTAGATGGCTCCAGTGATCGCCCAACTTGTGCGGAGAGCGTCGCAACGATTTCCTAATCTGGACAAGCAGAAGAATATTGCATCGTCAGCTTCGCAACGCCCTCTCTTATGCTCTCGAGAGAATGACTCCAGGGACAGTATCTTGTGGTTAACCTCGTGGAACCATCGGATCTGCACCAAGCTACGCATGTGCCTCGGTTCGATGCAGGGACAACTTGTATATGACCTTGACATGATCTATAAGGAGCGCTGCAAGACGCCACATGTACATCGCATAGGGCATTCATTCTGATTTTTGTCTTTCTTTTTTCATTTTGAATAGCTTCAACTAGTTCCATTGCAACATGTCATTAGAAAGCGCTCTCACTATCGCACGGCAATACGCCCAGTCCAGCCTCGCCCAGCTGCCTGAACCCGCGCAGAATGCTCTCCTGAATCCTCTCGTCCAGAAGGCACTCACAGCAGCGCTGGTCTTCGGTGCTCTGCGGCAGGCTAACCGCGTGTTGTCACGATGGTCGATGAACAACTGGCAGAGCGCGCATCCATGGCAGGGTGATCGCGAGCTCGTTCTGGTTTCCGGAGGGTGCAGCGGCATAGGCAAGCAGATCATGGAGGATTTGGCCAGTAAAGGAATCCGGGTGGTTATTTTGGATATCAACGAGCCCAGCTTTCGGCTACGTAAGAGACATCGCTTCCCTCAKCATGCGCCATAGACTAACGGATCAAAGCTCGCAATGTGCACTTCTTCAAGGCCGACATCACCAACTCGGAGAGTATTAAAGCTGTGGCTGAGCAGATTCGCCAGAAACTGGGCGATCCCACTGTGCTGGTGAACAACGCAGGCGTGGGCCACGACGGCACCATCCTCGAGGAGCCCGAGGCCAAGATCCGGCAGACTTTCGAGGTCAACACCGTCTCGCATTTCCTGATGGTGCGAGAGTTTTTGCCTAGCATGATCCGACAGAACCACGGTCATGTTATTACGATTGCCAGTATGGCTAGTTTTGTTGCATTGGGGGAGATGGTGGATTACTGCTGCTCCAAGGCCAGCGCCCTAGCCTTCCACGAGGGATTGACGCAAGAGTTGCGGTATTGGTATCACGCAAAGAAAGTTCGCACCAGGTATGAGGCTACATTCAATTTGACAAGCGTCGTACTGACCGAAGGCAAGTGTCATTCATCCACTGTGGGTTCGTACTCCTATGATTCAGCAGTTGACGGACGCGGGCGGCCAATTCAAGCAACCCGTGATGACGCCCCAGGTGGTTTCGGATGCAGTGGTCAAGCAGATCCTCACGCAGAGCAGCGGGCAAGTGATTCTTCCGACTTCGCATTCCGCTGCCAGTATGGTGCGAGCATTCCCTCATTGGTTCCAAGAGACTGTGCGCGGGATTGCCTCGGGGTCATTGAGGAGACTTCGAGAGTCGCAAGCTGCTCAGAAGTTGTAATTACACGGTATATAGACATCTATCCTGCGACTGATTGAAATTTCATATATGACTATGGTTATGGCAATAATGATGCATATAAATCTACACTGACCTAGATTACTGTAAGAGAGCAATTAGTGATACAGACTAAGGATGGTTCGAGGACAGCCATAAATAAAGATATCCATAAATATAGACATATAACATATCCCCCTTCATGCGTATATACCGTATGTATATCACCACAACCGTTTCGTCAACCACTCCTTGACCCTCTTCCCCTGTTCCGTCTCCGTCGTATCCCCCAGTTCCAGATTATAAATAGGAGCAACATGACCCTCGCGATGTCCAACAAACAGTTCCACCGAGGGAAAACCAGCCTGTCCCGTCAGCAGCCACTCACTTAAGTCATGATCACAAGCACATACCTTGAACTTCTCCGCAAAGTCCTGTATAATCGCCAACAGAATCTCATTCCCCCCGGCGCAAATCAACACACTCTCCACAGGAAACGTAGTATACCACTCAGGCTCCGCATTCGACAAATCGGTATAGACGTCTCTCGTCGCCGTACCCAGGTACGCCCCCGCCCACGGGCCCGCCACCGCGGGCGTGATCAAATCCCCGCGGGAATCGATCTTGCGGTCCGAAAAGTCCGTCTCCATTAGCGTCCAGGGGGCGATCATCACCGCGCCCGCGAGGTTCTCCTTTGGTGACAAGGGGTCAATCTGTGGGTGCGGATGCGCCAGGTGCGACAGCACGCCGCCGACGAGGTTGCCTCCCGCTGAGTCGCCGCCGAGGAAGATGCGGCTGGGTTGGTGCGGAGTGTTGTCGAGGACGTAGCGGAGGCACTCGACTGCCTGGCGGAGTTGCGTGGGGTATATTGCCTGCGGGGCGAGGGTGTAGGTGAGGCTGAAGACGGCCAGAGATTTGTTGTTTTGTGCGGCGTGGTCGACTAGGTTGGCGAAGAATTTGAAGTAGCCCATGTTCGCGGGAAGGGCGAAGCCTCCTCCTGTTTCTTTGTTAGATCGGTCAAATCAGGAAGGGGAGAGGTGCTCTGCTGACCGTGGTACCAGATCAGGACGTTATCTGCGTTGGCGTCTCCGATCCAGTGGCCGAAGGAGCCTTTGCCGAGCTCGATGGTGTGAGACAATCGCTTGGTTTTCTTGATATATGTCTCGTACATCTTGTTGGTCGGTGGCAGGACATATCTACATCATCGTCAGCAATTTATTTATTTGTAGAAAGATTGCGAATACGTACTGCATCTGCTTGATGGACAAGCGTGTCGTCGCTTTACGGAATACCGCATAGCCAATATGAAGGAACAGAGTCTTGGGCTGGTTGGACTCTCGCCGTAATCCAGTCAAGATAGCCCATATAGCAGTAAGCCATATGGATAACAGGGCAGGGAAGAAATCGAGCTTCTCCCACAGGGTTAACTTGATTGTTTTGTTGAAAGGCATGGGTCCGTTGGTTCAGGTGGTATGACGGGTGTGTTGGAGTGAAAGGTTGATGTCTACGGGGCAGATACAGTATACAACTGTTCAGATCGCATGATCATTAGTATGGTGATGCTGGAGACGTCTACCTTATTGTAAGGAAGAATCGCAGCGAGGGTCGCAAGCATTGCCTGATTGGGAAATATTGATGCTTATCCTTGATAACCGAGGTTGCCTCGGTTGGCTGGACACAGTTATTCGACGCGGGGCATGATGAGAACACAATGAAATTTGATCTAGACGGTTGAGATTTGTTTTAATTATGTTGGTCTCGTTGTCTAGATATGATACAGCTGATCTGATCTGTGCTTTACATTTCCTTGCTGGTGACACAAATCAAGGGTCAAGATCTTGTGGAACATTAAACGACCAATCGCGTTAGAATATCGGATACATACATACTTTAGATCTCCTTGCTTTTCTTGTGGCATAACTGACAATCTCCTGCCCCTAGATAGCAACCTACTGTTCTCTGTGAATACTCCTTCATTCTCTGTACTTGTCCAATTTTTTCAAATGCCGAATCCTCCTTGATGAACCCGTTAAATGATCGACTGGACTAAAATTGAGTCCCAGAGATACAAGCTTAGCCCAACATCCACGTCCCAACTCTCCAACCCATTAGAGTGGTACTGGCGCAGTACCGTTTAAGTCCGTGATTCGCGACGATTTCCCTTTTGGGCAAACGATCACTGGCCTCTCCACACGGCCTCACACCGAGGAACATGTGAACTCTTTTAATTATTCATAATTTCCATGGTGACATTTGACTTATATAAATCCAAGGCTCTTGGTTGCACTGAATCATACACCTCGTTTCCAAAGCTCATGCCAGAATGGATTACGATATTATCATTGTTGGCGCTGGTATCTCCGGTATCAACGCTGCCTACCGCATCCAAAGCCAATTCCCCAACTATCGGTATGCCATTCTAGAAGCCCGCAACGCCATTGGCGGAACGTGGGATCTCTTTAAATATCCTGGCATTCGATCCGACTCGGATCTGTTCACGTTTGGGTTCTCCTGGAACCCCTGGAATCAGGACAACCCGATCGCCGAGGGCGCCTCCATCTCCAAGTATATGCGCGATACAGCTGCGCAGTACGGCATCGACAAGCACATCCATTTTCAGCATCGCTTGCTAGCGGCCGACTGGTCGTCCGCCGACAATGTGTGGAAGCTGGCCGTCGACCATGAGGGCGAGCCCAAGTCTTACACTGCGCGCTTCGTCATCTTTGGCACCGGATACTACAACTATCATGAGCCACTGACCGCTGATGTTCCCGGTCTCAGTCAATTCCAGGGCAAGGTTATCCATCCGCAGTTCTGGCCGGAGGATCTCGACTACACCGACAAGAAAGTGGTCATCATCGGCAGTGGCGCGACGGCGGTAACGCTCCTCCCCAAGATGGCCGAGAAAGCGGCCAAAGTCACCATGCTTCAGCGCAGTCCAACATACATTCTCGCCTTACCCAACCGCCAGAGCTCGCTGTTGAGCTGGATCCTCCCTAACACAGTCAACCGTAAACTACAACGCCTCCGATGGATCATCACTTCCCGAATCTTCTTTCTTTTCTGCCAAACCTTCCCCTGGATGGCGCGCCTTATCCTCAAGCTCAGCGTCGTGCGGCAGCTCCCCAAAAATGTCCCCCACGATCCGCACTTCAAGCCGCGGTACAACCCGTGGGATCAGCGTCTGTGTATCTGTCCCGATGGCGACTTCTTCAAGAGTCTCCATAGTGGCCATGCGAACGTCAAGACAGACACCATCCGGCAAGTCACAGCCAACGGCATTGAGCTGAACTCGGGCGACTTCCTCGACGCGGACATCATTGTGACGGCGACGGGGCTCAAGCTGCAGATCGCAGGGGGCACCTCGATCACGGTGGACGGCGAAAAACAGCGCGTGTCCGACAAGTACCTCTGGAACGGGGTAATGCTGCAGGACCTGCCCAACGCATCCTTTGTGATCGGCTACACCAATGCGTCCTGGACGCTGGGGGCTGACGCGACGGCGCTCTTTGTCTGCCGGCTGCTGAAGTGGATGGAGCGACACCACAAGGTCGCGGCGGTCCCACGGCTGAACCCGGTGCTGGGCAGGCAGATGCAGCCCCGGCGGCTGCTCAATCTGAACTCGACGTACGTGACGGCGGCGGAGAAGGATCTCCCCAAAGCAGCCGATCGGGGGCCCTGGCAGCCGCGCGACAATTACCTGTCGGATCTGATGTTTGCCAAGTACGGGCGGCTCGATGAGGGACTGGAATGGGTCAACGGGGAATGGAAGAAGCAGCAATAGCGACCCGATCTTTTGATTATGATGGTATGTGTGGTGGTAGATTAATATCACTTTGAACGATTCCATCTCTGCATGATGTCACGACTCTTGAGCAATATAACGCAACAATAACTAGAAATTAAACGAGTTGCATATTCCCCTCAATCAAGAATAAATAAAGGCCCGATCGAAAGAAATGCCGCAATCCGCAACTCCGCGAACGAATCAACAAGAATCAAACAAATCGTCAAGAGCGTCCAAACAGGCCAATGGTCCAATTCAACCTGGCTCCGCTGTGTGACTGACTACTGGCGAGACAGGTCGATTCTCGCGTCCGAATACCAAGACCACGGCGGGAACTGCACTACGCCCAAGGAACCCGCAGGACATGTCTCAAAAGGTTGTTTGACGAATGGCAGGCCCTAGAAGACGGACGCGGAAGCGGTATCTGCTGAGAACGCGTGGGAGGAGCTAGACTGGAGGAGTAGGTTGATGATATTCATGTACTATCCTTCTACTCTGTATATAGAGGTAATACTCTATGGTGATAGTTCGTGCTACGAAGAATGCTTCATTCCTGAGTATGTGTCAAACTGACTATTGAGTAATATTAATAATGGAATCAAGATTGATAAATGCCTCAATGACGAGAACTGGATATAGATTCATCCTTTTAGATTTTTAGTATACAAACATCATCGGTCGAAAGTGCCGGAAATCGGACATTTCTGAGTCGAGACTCTGGCCCGAGTCGACATCCCGATCAAGGACTTCAATCTTCCGTTCTTGCATCCATCATGATGAATTAATAGACAATCTGTTGACGGCTGAAAATATAGCGTGTATTTATCGAGTATATCCCAGAACAAGCAATTCTCAAAACTACCTGACATCCAGTATCCTCAATATCCTCACTCCTCAGTCCTCAGTCCTAGTCTCCGATTCCGACCAATCACAGAACCGGCATTTCAATCGGCAATCCTGGACTCTACCAACATGGCTTTATCCTGAAAATATCCACTATTTAGCGTCTAAAATTAAGAATCAGTCAAGCACTCGATCGGACAGTTACCGATGAAAGGTCCGGTCTTCGGGGGGATCCCGCAGGCCGTGGGGCCCCGATACTGAAGCGACAGAGACTGACGGGAGTTTTCGGAAAAGTAGAGGAGAGTATAGTATAGCATCAGGATACTTCATCATGGAAGCAGAGTACATAAGGAGAATGGTATACTGCGTAGTAGCACTTGTAGAATAGATTAACAGAACTAATCAATATCCTGCATAGACTACTATCACCACTTCTACACTGTGTCACTGTCTACCTATACTATCATTGCACTGTACATCATATTATAGCCACTGCAATGGCACCCTCCATCAATGACTTCCCTCACTCCAACACCTCGCCTCAATCCCCCGTCTGCAAGATAGGCATCAATGGCTTCGGTCGCATAGGTAACCCCGTCCGCCTCCCCTAGCACGACCAGACAGTACTGACCCGAGGACCACCCAGGCCGCAACGTCCTCCGCGCAGCCCTCAACAGACCCGACCTCCAAATCGTCGCCATCAACCACACCTGCACCACAATCCAAGACCTCATCCACCTCATCCGCTACGACTCCTGCATGGGCAACCTCCCACCCACGGTCCCCATCCACGCCCTCTCCGACACCCTCCTCAGCATCAACGGCCACCAAATCGCACTCACCTCGGAACGCAGCCTGCAAAACCTCAACTGGGCCGCCCTAGGCGCAGACTACGTGATCGAATGTACCGGAAAGTTCACCAAGCATGCCCAAGCCCTCGAGCACATCACCCACGGCCACGCTAAGCGGGTCATCATCTCCGCGCCGAGCGCCGACGCCCCGACGTACGTGTACGGCGTCAATAGCGATGCGTACACGGCGGGGGAGCGCGTGATCTCCTGTGCGAGCTGCACGACGAACTGCGTGACTCCCGTGTTGAAGGTGCTGCAGGGGCATTTCGGCATTGCGCAGGGTTTCCTGACGACTGTGCATGCGGCGACGAGGTCGCAGCAGGTGTTGGATGGGTATAGTAAGAAGAATCGGCGATTAGGTATGTCCTTCCTCTCCTGAGAAAAAGAGAATGAAGATTGATGTGATGTGATGTAGGCCGCAGTGTCTTTGATAATATCATTCCGACGACCACAGGTGCAGCCAAGGCTATTGCGACGGTGTTGCCCGAGTTGAGCGGGAAGGTTACGGGGGTGTCGATCCGGGTGCCAACGTAAGTTTTGCTGAGTCTCGTTTTGCTGGCTGACTGCAAGCTAACTGACTAGTCCCAACGTCTCCATGATCGACTTGACCGTCAGCACAGAAAAGCCCACCTCGCTGGCCGAGATCCTGGCTGTCTTCCGCCGCGCGGCAAAGTCGGAGCTGGCCGGCGTGTTGGCTGTGGCTGATGAGGAGCTCGTCAGCAGTGATTATCTTGGGAACCCGCACAGTGCCATTATCGATGCGCCGGCCTGTTTGGAATTGAATCCTCAGGTGAGTTGTCTGCTGGCATAGTCATGTAGCATGCTAAGTATGTGCAGTTCTTCAAGATCATGGCGTGGTATGATAACGAATGGGGATATTCGAATCGGCTGCTAGATCTGACCAAGCATGTGGCTTCCCAAGAACTTGATGCATAGATGGATAGATATACCCTGAGATGGAGTTACTGCTTATGGAATACTGAGAACAAGTGATAAGTGATTCATAATTATATTGATCCATACATCGTGCATGCCTAGGCATAAACATCACCATCACATGTGACAATCTACTGCCGCGTGGTCTCCTCATCCAGCTTCGGATTCGGATTGTTAGCATCATAGCGACTGGCAGGCAAATTATTCAGCTCATCCTCCTGCTTATCCAACTTGTAGTTCGTCAGCCAGAAGCCGATGCCGCCGACGAACGCCAGGATCGCCACAACGGTATAGTTCCAGACCAGCAGCGGATCCTTGGACAGACCCACCAGCGCCTGGCCCAGCGCAGACGAGAACGCATTCATGAACAGCGCGACGGCCTGCACGAGCGAGCGCATGTTCTTGGGCGCCTTGGTAAAGGCATACTCGAGGGAAGTGACGGAGGCAAAAATCTCCGAGATACCGCCGAGCACGTACGTGAGGGTCTGCACCCACACCGAGATGTCGGAGTGCTTGTTCAGCTCGTCGAGGCAGTAGTTGGCTTCCTTGCCGCAGGGGCCGATCTTATAGATGTAGTACTGGGTGACGGTGGCGACGATCATGCCGCTGCCGGCGAAGAAGAAGCCGGCGGTGATGCGCTTGAGCGGGGTGAACTTGATGCCCATGCGGCGGAGACCCGGGTAGACCAAAAAGTCCATGATGGGGATGAAGATGATGAGCGCGAGGGGGTTGAGGTTGTTGATGATGTCGTTGGGGACGCCGTTCAGGCGCATGGTTGCCGCCTGCGAGGTGAGGTTGTTGATCATTTGGTTGTAGGCGAGCCCTAATCAGTCAGTTTGGAATGTGTGAATAGGATGTCGACGAAAACGTACAGTATAGAGGGTACCAGAGGAAAACCTTGCAGGCCTTGAGACCACGGCTGACCTCGTCGACCCATTCGTCGTCAAAGGTCATCCACACGGGACGGTTGGGACCCAGAGCAGAGGGCTTGACCGAATCCCAGAAGGGCTTCTCGTTCTTCTTCCAGCTGTGAGGGGTCAGTAAGTGGAAACAGGAAAGCAGCAATCGGGAAACGCACATTCTGGCAGGGTTGAGAGACCACCGCCCCTTCATCGCCAGTTTCCACAGACGGATGGCCTGGCTGTAGACCGAGCCCGTCGGCTTGACGAGGTGATACTTGTTGCGGCAGAAGAACAGGACGACKGGGCAGCCCAGGTACATCATGGTGGGCAGGAAGTAGGACAGCCAGAACCCGACGTATTTCTCCGCATACACCATGCTGACCTGGCCCAGGATCGAGCCAATGTTGATCATCATGTAGAAGTACAGGTAGATGCGGGAGATGGTGGCCGCGGGATCAACAATCACGCGTTTCCCGTCCTTGAGAGTTTTGATGTAGGGGACCTCTTCGCGGTACTGCTCGGCGATCAGGGGAGAAATATTGGACCTACCATCCGGTCACTATTAAATTTCAACAGTGCGAAGGAAAGGTGGGAGGACATACTTGAAACCACCAGTACCCACACCCATGATCAGCAGACCGATAGAGAAGCAGGCAATGGCACCATTGGGGCTCGCAATAACCGGAGGCAAGGCCGAGACGATCAGGATGATATGGCCCAGGAGCGCGGCGCCAATGGAGAACATGATGGTCCGGAATCGTCCCCAGTACTGGTCAGCCATGTAGGCACCGGCCAGGGGCATCACGTATGACCAGAAGGCGTTGACTGAAGGGTCAGCGATATCCCTCTAGTATCACCGCGGAAAAACTCACACAATGTCAGACCAGTGGACGCCTGCTGGCCCATACCCAATGCACCGGGGTTGTGGTGGTCACCTCCCGCACCAGTGGTCGAGCCCGCGGGAAGAGGACGCTGGATGAAGTTGACGACTAGACCGATTAGCTCCGTATCTCAGTGTAAAGATGAGAAACCATACAAACTGCAGTCGTGCCATAGTAGGAGAAACGCTCGCACAACTCGACAAGCGCCACCGTGTACGCAGTCCAAGGAATATCGCCAGCTACCCGACGGAGGTGCTTGAAGTCCTCATCGGAGGGGTATTGCCTCTGCAGATGGGCGTGGTCGTCGTCATAAACCGCAGAGGAGACGCCCACTTCTTTCGACGCGGGAGGAATCTCCTCAATACTAGGCGCGAGAGACAATTTGTGGTCCATCTTCTCATTTATTTCCACATCATGAGCAGCGGCCCTGGATCGGGCGACTTCCGCCACTTCCACGGGGTCTGAAACGTTCATGGCAACAAATATATAAAACAGACAGACCAAAGAGACTCGGACAGATACAGCGCAATTGTCCCACAGACACTGGACCGTGGAGAAGAAGAGGAGTTAGAAAAAGAAGAGCCCCGTGGACCGGGAAAAGGGTCCAGCTTTAATAAGAGAGAGGAACAAGGGTACAAAAAAAGGCCACCATGCAATCCAGACAGGTTATCGCGTGTCACGTCAGATGAACCAATAATCGCTCGGCAGCAATGGGTACATTTAATCTATTTTATCGAGGGTCTGTCTCCAGACTGGCATGATTTGCTGCACGGCCGAGGTCGCGGGGGATTAGCTGAATTCGTCGACAGTATCAGTCTAGAACCGTGGGTATCCGGCGGACCAAGACTCTCGGCTGAGTTCGCGAGGGTCAAGACATGGCCGTTGCTTTGAATCCGTGATCCTTTCTACGGCTGTATGTCAACACTATCGCTTGGAGCAGCGCTTGGAAGCGGGTGATGCCGACATGAACATGGCTGTACGGCGAAGATTGAGAGTGGCAATTGGGCATATCAATGCAGGGCATTCATTCCATGTGGTCGTGGATTCCATTGAGCTCTGGAACTCGGCAGCAACGATGGTGAAATCCTGGAGGCTTGATTAGAGGGTCTTGGAAAAGCGTCTGACCGTCGCAGCAGCAATCATATTGGTTGTAATGGACTAAGGGCTGGTGGCGGAAATACGGCGGTCGCTTGGCCGGGGCTTGGCTGGTAGGCTGGAGTGCAACCTCACTGCTTGGCTGCGCGAATTCAGGCCAATGAGCCGAGGGAGAGGTTATCAGGCTATCAGAGCTCTCCCAGCGTGCCAATAAGCGTGAATCACGATAGTGTCAATGATAGTGATATTAACTAGTGGCCCTGGCACGTGCATGGTCCCAGTTTACCCCAGATGGATGAGGGGATAGACTCTACGCGAGAGCAAACCTTGACTAATAGATACGAGTTGGTCTCACTCTATTCGAATGTATCTGGTCTATCTGGCCTATCGACCTGCCAGATTCAGCCATAGAGCTTCTTAGCTGGCACGGAGTTTGTGGTCAAGTGAGGAGAGACTCAATCAATGGAAATAAACGTACAGCTGGTACCTTGCGCGAATCCGGGGTTGACTCGGTTATCAAAGGCATTTTGTTCATTTCGATTACCAGCCGGGAACGAAATCAAGTCTCAAAGGGGTTAGAATCGAGGAACCCGAGCTAGATAACACGACGCCGTGTGACTGGCCTTGTCTTACAATGTCTGACCATCAGGCTCATTTTTCAAACAGTGTGAATGCCACGATATTTATTCTAGTCTCGCTCTGCGTTATTCCAGTAATCAGGAGATTATCCTATTATCCTCCCTACCTTCATGATTTAACTGCACTCTTTCGAAATTATAACTATGCGAAATTGATATCCAGCCTCATTGATAGCCATCACTACTGTCCTCCACAATCCCCATAGTGGACCACGCTCGTATCATACATAGCTTGGCCATGCTTAATATGGTGGACCTCTCAAAGGCCCCAATCGACCACTGACCGAGACAAGAAAGGAACTAAAATTGATCATCCTGTGTGTATACAACGTCTAACAGCACCAGCAAATCCAGAATTGCTGCAGATCAATTCATGTATATACTATACAATGTATATATATATATATATATCTATCTCCCGGCCTCACCAACTGTCCGTCAGGTTGCAACCTTATAACTACCCGACTGTCCGGGCTTCCCCAGAAGGGCTCCTTTCGTCGAGATCATGCAAAGGGATCTTCTTAGTGACAGATCTAATGCGTGCTTCTTATTAAAGCTGAGATCCTCAAAGGATCCCATGAAGGGCCAATTTCAACTGTGCTCTAAGACGATTAGGGTGAGAAATCGACAGATCTGGAGGTCTGATTTGATAAATCAGCCAAAGACAGGTAGACGAGTGAAGCCGGACGAGAGAGTAGAAATGAGCCGGGGGTGATGCCCTGTCGTCAACGGTGACTCATTGATGAAGGATGCAATCGGATGTTCTAATCTCACCAAGCCGCCGAATACGAAGATATATGATTTTTGAACCAATGTGTACATATACAGTGGTTGAAATCTCTCGTCACAAATAGCCAGGAATATCGCGAATCTTGTATTGCCTGGTAGGATCAAATCCCCTTTGTTTTTCTTACGTTAAACAAACTTCCCCGTTAAGACTTATTGAAGTCTCGACTTCCTGTAGACCCTTTTATGTGTGGCGACAATGCTTCCACTTCGACTGAGTGCTGCATACAAGATGTCACTCTGGGATGCCAGATATAACCCCTGTCAATCATAGGTGTATTCTGTCCTCAAACAAAAAAGGCAACGCAGCCAAAACGATCAAGTGTGCCAGACATCCAGGAAGCAACATAACAGAAGATAAACCCAACTGAGCAAAGAAAGCTGCTATGCTGGATTGCCTTGCACTGCTAGATGCCTCAGGTTGATGCCTCAGGTTAAAAATCTGAGGTCCGGAGCTGTCATTGGCTGATCTCAGAAGACTGCTGACTCATTCTATTACCTGGTTCCTGGGCCGTTGACTGGTCGCTGGTCAAACGTCTTCCTGCTCCTAGCGACATTGACTCCAGGGGCGCATTCTATCGACTCTAAGTATTTCCAAATCTTCAAAACACACCGAGACCATGTCGTTCATTGTTCGAGCGGATTACGAATTGGAAATGCTCACTTGGAATAGCCCATTCGTCGGTTTAGACTGAGCG